TCCGCTCGGCAAGAGGATGGACCTGCCATCTATACGTCTGATACGTATATCATGCAAACCTAAGCTTTTCTGCTTTGAAGAACTGGAACAGCATCTGTGCTCACCAACGTTTTTAGCACTTAGTGTTGAATCCCTTCGCAAACCAAAACCAGTCCGTCCGTCCGCACCTTGTCTGTCTCCTCGGACCGCAGGTTTTGGAAGAGATCTTCCACCAAGAGGTAATACCTCCAGCCATTGCTGAAGCGTGCTTCACATCTGGTGCTTCACTGAAGAACAGGTGGAGGGATTTTTCAGGTGAAATGTCCTCAACCATTCTCCAAATGTGTTGAGCAAATCTTTCAATCGGCGAGCTCTTTTGGCAAATTTACCTATAATACAACCTGCGTTGATTCGTGGTCCCACAACGTCCAAACTGCCTCAGCTGGCTGAATGTTTCTAATCAGTCGCACCGCAAACATCGTTTATCGAATAACTATTTCGCCCATGGCAGTCCCATAGCCCGAAACCATGGTCCGAGGATGGTCAACCACCGGCCTCTCTTTGTTGAGAAGGTGGCTCTCTGCCAGCAACTCCTTCCACAGGCCAATCACATCTTGAGTCTAACACCATGCATTCCATTGCTCTGTCACTGTCTGGGTTCGCATTTGTCGCTGTCTTCTGCATTGCTCAACTGGATTCTCTGGTTTGGCACAAACATGTTGCCAAAGCAAGTTGTCAGTATTTGGCCTAAACATTTGTCTGCTCATGGGTTCAACATTGTTCAACATTGTTAGCAACTTGTCAACTAGTGTTTGATCCAATATCCATCATGCACTGGACACCGGAGCTTTACCTTGTCTCGAGCAGCACCTTCGATTGTGCTCTGACCTAAGCAAAACACGTGACACTGCTGCGGCCCGAGGGCCAGGGACTCGGGACGGGTCTCGAGCATCGGAATCCAAGATACACCCTGTACATCCCTGTACATCCCTGAACCTAATGGATTGCTTAGAAAGGCTCTATTCTCAACGCCCTGCGACGCCCTGCGGCCAGAACATCGCATCCTACGACAGTTGAAGCGGTGTTGTACGATTGTTCGCTCAGAAAGGAGTGTGTTCAATTTTTCCTCCTAAGACTTCCTCCGGGTGCGCACAAAACTGGTGGACTCCACCGGCACAATGACTGGCCCGGCTCAGTTGCGCACAAAACACCGCTGTGATGACCTGAGCTGCTCAGTGGGTCGTGCTCCGGCGCTCCGGGACGCGCAACCGCCGAGCGGGGCGCGAGTCACGGCCGAGACGAGCGTCGGTCGCCCATCTGAGCTTCGGACGTTGAGGACGGCAAAGGTGGTGAAGATCTGAGGACGGCAGTCGTAGTGGTGAGGCGACTGGTGGATGACTCCAGAAGGACTGGAGTTCAAGTTGGGGGGGGAATCATGCATAATGAATCATGCCCCACTTTTACTGGTCCAAGGAGATTGCGGTGAGGCGCCTCAAGTTGTGCAACATGTCTTCAGGGTGGGTCGGCAGGAGTCGAGTCTCCTTCTGCAACGTTCTATATATTATAACCCAAGTATTCACACAGGCCCATTCCCGGCTGCTCCGTATGGATCAAACATGTGCCGAGGCGACTGATGCTAGAAGCTTTGCCCTTTCACAGCTGTCCCCAGGGGTCTGCAAGCGAGAGACAATATAGACCGAGAAGATGTAACCTAAGTTGAACAAAGCCACCCACAGCGGCAGCGCTGTGGGGATGCGTCATCAATGGTCATAAACCCAATTCAGATCCCCGGTCACGGCAGGGAGAGTCCAGTCGGGCGCCGCTGTCGTCGCTCTCTTGATGGAACAGCTAACATCGTCTTTGTAAGAGACACACACAAACAAAAAAACATTCTTCAGTGAAACACCGTCATGTCATGTTACAGGTTGCCTTATTAATTAGTGAATCGAAGGGCTTTGCCTCTTCCTTGCCATCTTCAGATTTTAGGTCTTTGGGGAATCAACCAGCAGAAGCCGTTTCGCAGAACCTGCAGCCATGGGGCCCCAGAGCCACCCGGCCTGGATCAACGGGCGAATCACCAAATCCCAACTGATGCCGTTCGCGATGGAGCGGAACAAAGTATGCATTGCCTAAGCCAAGTAGGAAGTAGGATGGGACATGCATGGCACTGATGTCGAGAAAACAAATATGGATTGAAATCCAAATCATCCAAAAATATCCCAAATGGATCCAGTTGTCCCTGTTTTCATCGCCTCCGTGCGAATGTCAAATTGGATTTGCCTAGTTTGGGCGACTCAACATCCATATCCTACATGCCATGGAGTTATTATGGATGAGAACACAGCCGGACAGCTGTCTTCCACGAACGCTCTTTCGGCACCGAGGAACACTGTGCACCGAGCCGAAGTAATCCCGAAGCTCAGCTTTCGCACCCAAATCACCATCACCTGGCAGGCGCGGAGTGTTTGACCTACGCCGCGTCAGAAGTAGACGGATGACAATGGAAAGGCGTGGAGTGTTTTAGTCGCCGCATACTGAAGCCGAATATATCACGCTAAACGCCTCACCAAGCTTTCAATTACAATTGCTCTCTTTGGGTTTCATATCAAATCGGCTGAGTTCTTTTTATGCCTTTGAACCCATTCTGAGGCTGAGCTGCCTGACGCTGCCCGGGCAGCTCAATCCAAGATGCAAGCGCACGATTGAAAAACAACGTAACAATGTCACTTGCAAAGGTGGGCTCTGAATGAGCCCTGTGTGATGTTCTCCACATTTTTGGGTGCGTGCAGTCACAACTGATGCACTACTTCCTTTGTTGAATATGAAAAGGAAGGTCACACCCAGGTGAAAATTGATTCAAATAGAGTGTATATGTCCACATCTTTCTTGGCTTACTGGCATACTGACATGGAACCTTCCAGCAATGAACACAGGCAACACACAAAACAAACGGCCTGACACTTCAATGTTGATATAGTCGCTCACGCCATCGCAAAGAAGGATGCCAAACATGTATATAATTATAATCAACAGCATAACCGACCTGAGCAATGCAAAGGGACATGTGCAGAAATTGAAGAGTGTAAGTATGTGTAAGTGTAATCCAAAAAACACATCCAAAAAGCGTTTCAACTCCAGCGTCCCAGACCGAACAATGTTAGCCGTTGTTAGCCAGCCAAAATCAAGCTCCAAACATGCCTCAAAAAGATGGGACACCGTGTCCGACACCTGTCATGTCTAAAGAAAGACGCTTCTTGTTACGTTCGCGATGGCCCCTACCTAATAGCGTCCTTGCTAACTGTACCACATAATCCTACAGACTATCTCACTCTCTCTGCGCTAGACCCGATCTCTGCTGATCTCGCTTCGCTTCATGCTGCCACGGCGGCCAACCCAAGGACCGCATGGTCATCGCGATGGAGCTCACCAGGTTCCGCAGCGAGCGCACGAAGCGCACGAGTCGCATGATGCGAAGGATGCGGAGCAGCCGGGTGATCCGCACGATGCGGATCACCTCGGTGGATGCGGAGCAGCCTTTGACGGGAGAAACGAGCAAAATAGTAGAATTGACCATAACAACAAACAGTACGGTAAAGTAAGATCTGAAGCTTCTGGAGACATGTCATTATCCCACTTGGTGCACATGAATGTGGTCCATGGTTATGCACTTGTCCATCTTCGCTGGACTTGCAAACCAAGCGGCTCGCATGTTGCTGATGGTATCGATATTGGCATAGGGCAGGCCTGACAGCCATTCACCCAAAACCTCAACGATGGAGACCACAACCAGCAAGGCGTCCTTGGACGAGTTTGCAAAACTGGTGAGCACTGGACCTACGAGTTTGTGGCAGTCTGTAGCACTTGCTTGCGCCCTACGAATTGGTTATCTATGAATCATGTTGTGATTGCGTACAAATTCAATTCTTATCATCGTGCAATTGAATTTGTGTTTTTCTTGCGGTTTATCGCAACATCTTCACCCTTGTGTTGTTCCTCTTGCTCCTCGGAAGCTCATTCTTTCCAAGTGTCCAGGTAGTTCCATGCCAAGTTTGCTGAATTGTAGAAGAATGCGCAACCTTCTGCGGTGATCCTGCCCAACTGGACATACCATGTCTGACAGTCACGTGGTATCTTCCGCGGGTCTTTAGTCAGGTCGACGTTTGCCAGGTTTCCCAAACGTGGATATCTACAAAATATTAACTTGATTTGAGTATTGTCTATTTCCATTTAGTACTCCCTTTACTTGCTATTTGTGTGAATACGTGTGAATACTATCGACAGGGTAAGTGTGATTGAGGAGATGATGTTGGAGTTGATGCTTAGGGCTTAGGAGTTGTTAAAAGGATTGATTTTATGTTTACAGGAAATCAGCCAATAACGCCCACCTTTTCACTTGAGCCAATGGTCGATGGTCGAGAGGCATATGATACAAAGAATACGTGGAACACTTAGTAAAAACACCCCCCGCGGCGCGAAGCGGCTTTGCCGCGGTGCACCGAAGAGGAAGTCGTTCAGTGTCCACGTATCAACCTCAGGCGGCGATGAAATCAAACCGCACTACGACCCTCGAACTACTGCATGCGAATGAGGCATGTCGGCACGAATGCAATCAAACCCCTACTTGCCAATGCAAATCGAAAGCAAAAAAAACTGAGGCAATCGATCTCTTTTCACTGACGCGGAGCATGCGACAAGTCTTCGCCTGAGCAGCTATGGCATCTGACCTCAAAATCTGCGATGAGCAAAGAGGTTTCTCACAAGAACAACGGCTATGCCTTCCGGCACGCTCGTCTCGCTGGGAACTCTTACTGTTCCATACCCGAGAAAAGCGTACACAGATAACATAAACCATTGAATTAAATGCAAAATGGGCTGAAAGAAGGGTTTTCGGCAGAGCGTTCCCGCTCGCTTCATAGGGACTTTGAAGGTATCGCACCAACGAATTGATTTCCGGCGCGACCTTCCGGTCCGCATGGCGAGACGACATTCTCTGCTTCTTTCTCCTTTCCTTTCATGGCTTTTCAGCGGTTCCACCAGCCTCCCTTGGACGAGGACCACCAGTCGGAGGAAGATGACGAGGCAGCCTCACTCTGCCATGAGGATCGCCCGGAGCGGTTCCAATCCCATGAACCGGAGCCCCAGGAACCTCCCCATCCTTGGTTCCAGCTGCTCTGCCAGCCTCCTTGATACTGGCTCTTCCCCTTGCCTTTGCCCTTGCCCTTGTTGCGACCCTTTGCTTCTGGGCAGTCGCGGGCACGATGGTCGGGTGAGCCGCACTCGTAGCAGAGCTTGGCGTCTTTCCCGACTCCTTTTGAGCGAGGATCGAAGGCTGTCTTCGTGCTCTCCTTTGCAGTGGATCGCCGCTCGGTGAGCTTCACCTCTGGAAACCGTCCTGAAAAGATTGTCGTGTCGGAGTACTCGGTTCCCTCACAGGCTCGAGCCCAATTGCGTTCAGCAAATTCCACTAAGTCGCTCAGGATCTGCACGGCGTCGCCTTCCGGCACGCACTCCAAGCTTCCCCATCCCTCCACGGCAACGACGGGTTCGTTGCGTGTGCGGGCCAGCGAGCACCACATCGAAAACTGCTTCAAGTTGAAGAAACGATTGTGATGACATACGAACGATTCGTCTTCGATCGACATGGCTTCGTTCGGATCCCTGGCAATGATGGGGATAAAGCATAACTTGGAGTGGTGCTCCCTCTCTTGGTCGTCAAGGGCCCTCTTCCGCTCGAGAGCGCTTCGTCCAGGGTTGGCAAAGATCGCTCGTGCAAGTCGGTGAAGAAAGGTGAGTGACCCTGACGTGAGCTGTGTTGTTGCACAGTTGTAGGCAAACAACGGATCAACCTCCAGTCGCTTCGTCGGTCCGGGCAATCCCAGCTGCTTCGCCTTCCTGACGTAGTTGACGGCCAGTCTCTTGACTAGGCCGAACGCCGATTTGGCGCCGCGCTGCTGTTCGCCCTTGGATGTGTCTTTGACGACGTTCGCCTTGCGAAAGGACCTTGTCGAAAGCTGATCCAATGCGACGACGGACTCGTTGAGGTTGGCCGTCTCTTCCAGTCGAGCAAGTTCACTGGCCGATCGGGCGTCGGACCAGACCTGCAAGTCTTGGCGACAGTAGTCGCATTTGTGCTGGCCATCAAAGTGCTTCGTCGCACACAAGGGTGATGGGCACACCCGCTTGGGGATCTGGACAATCTCATTCGCCATCAGATCTTCGTCTTTGATGTCGCGAAATTTTCCTTTGCCCTTGCCCTTCTTGCCCTTGGACTTGCCCTTTGACTTGCCCTTTCCTGCCCAGCCAGACATCTCCTCATTGATGATGATGCACACTTGTCCCAGCATAAAGCCGGTAAGCTCTGGCGGCGGACCCTCCCGGGACGCTTGGCTCTGAGTCAGGGCCACCTCGTCGGTGATGCCCGTCATCTTGACTGCGCCTCGCATCAGGTTGACCTGGCCTACCTTCACGTGCTGCTGATTCTGGCGAGCATTGTTCAGCATGTAATTCCGGGCTTCGGCTAGCTTGCTCAATCGGAACTGCGGATCGTCAGTGGAATGACTTTTCATTTCTTCATGATACATCTGTCGCATCTTGGCGTACGCCCTGTTGAACCAGACAAACTGGTTGTTTCGGGCATCGTACGCGTACATCAGTGCGGAATTCGGAACACAGTCCAAACAGAGGATGCTCTTTCGTGTTGCGAAGACTCGGCAACCGTGCTGCATCACAAGCTCTGTGTCAAAGGCTAGGTAAATGGGTTGTCCGGCTCGCGTTCCCGCAAGCTTTCTCATCTGGGCCTTCCATGGCGGGCATGTCGTGAAATAATTATGAGCTCGGCCCGTCTTCTTCGGAAAACCACCAGGGATGAGACCGGAGGTGATGATTCCCTCCATAGCTGCGCGGTCGCAAGAATGGTACAGGACCCTTGGTAATGACGACAGATACTCCTGGTCAGGCATCATGTTCATCCGTGGAAGCTTGCCCTCATCGACCATCTTCGGAACATATTCGGGGTCAAGCGAATAGATGCGCTTGATGAAGTTGGCATGTCCCAACTGGTCAGTGACCCATCGGTTGTGGCCTTGCACGGCCTTGATACCAACTGGCTCATACGGCAGACCTTTCCAGGTCGCTCCCACGGTGTTGCCTGGCAGGCGAGTCTTCAACTCGAATCGTTCGTCCTCCGAATTCTTGATCACCAGAAGCACCTCCCATTCTCTGCATTGGTTGATGCGTTTCTGGAGGCATTCCATGAGCGGCTTCCAGGGCTTACTGCCGTCCTCCTCGAAGTCCGGCGTGTTGAACCCTTTCAGTTCCTTATGGCCGCGGAGGTGGGATGTGAGCTCTTGGGAGATCCACCGAAAACGGCCCCACTCAACATCCCGGCGCGGGATTTGGCGAAGGTGCTCTGGACCGAGCCACACCTCTTGTCCCGGAAGCTGGGCAAATTCGAGATCCTTGCTGGGATCTTCGGTGTCGATTGCCCGCAAGGTGGGTTCCAGGTTAGGACGCCTCACCTGCTTCGGCTGCGCCTTGGGCCGAATGGCAAGCCTCTCTGCTTCTTTCCACTTCTTGAATCGAGCGTCTCGCTCTTCCTTTTCCCCTTTCACCACGATTCGGCCGGTTTTCTCGTCGACGTAGTTCAGTTCCTCGTAGTGAGCTTTGGCCTCAGCAGCGGCCTTTTCTAGCTCCGTGAGTTCTGACTTCGGCGAACCTTCCGGCACGCTTGGCTTCTGGGGCTTCGTGGCAGAGGGCTTCTTCTTCGGCTTTTGCTTCTCCGCGTCATCCTCACCAGTCAGGTCGATCTCCATGGGCTGGGCGTCGTCAGTCTGAGTCTTCTCCTGACTAGCCTGGCCCGGAGTCTCCTTGGCTTCTTCACCTTGGGGTTCATCAGCTGTTGGATCGACGTCCTTCTGGCCTTCGGGAGCGGCTTCTTCATCCGCCTTCTTCTGCTCCCCTTGGGCCTTTTCGTCGACCTCCATGGGTTCGGGCTTATCGGCCTCGCCCGTCTCTGAGCGCCCCGCAGACTTGAATACCGCCGAGTCCGCATCATCATCGTCCCAGTCTGGTTGTTCCTCTTCGGGATGCTCAACGATCACATAGGACTTTTCGGTGCGAACATCAGCAAAGGCTTCATCATCTGCCTTTTCTTCCTCAGTCTTCGGTGGCGGAAGAGGCACTTCAACTGGCGGGATGAATGAGCTTGCATCCGGATTCTTCTTTTTCTCCTCGAGGGCTCGTTCCCATTCATCGAAGTCGAGCGCATCTCCTTCGTCTGGAACTTCCCATGGGAACTCTTCCACAAGTTCTTGGCCCCCCATTGGAGTTGGCAAGTCTGGGTACAGCTCTTTCATAATGATGCGATGCCTCTCATCGTGCTCACTTTCGTCCAATTCTTCTGCGTCGATGGGCAATCGCAACAGGTCGTCCGGGTTCATCTCCTGGGCCAGCACGTGGCTGGTATCCTTCAGGCGCACGACATCCGTCTCTTCCTCTTGCAGCAACCAATTCATTATCTCTTGGTCAACTGCATCCACAATGTCGGCCGGGCTCAATTCGATTTGATCCACGGCTCGCCTTCCGGCAAGCATCAAGTCAGCAGCAGCTCGAACCTCCGAGATAGTAGGGTACCTGAACATGAACTCCATCAACTGCAAGTCTCCCTCGCCTTCACCGGCGTTCAGGATGGTCAACGGTTCAATCTCGTCCTTGTACTGCATCACTTGGAAGGTCCGAAATGCGCTGGTAGCAATGCCGGAGTAGACGGCGACTCCCCATTTGAGGGTCTGGTAGCACTCGACCATGTGGAATTGGTCGTGGTAGAAGACCTGGTTCGTCATCGTGCTTGGATCCACACACGGAACACCCCTCGATATCAGGTATCCGTAGTGTTCCCCGAGATGCCGGTTGTATGCTTTCGGCAAGTCGTAGTCCTCTGCCGGGGCGTTTCCGACAACCACTAATTCGGCTACGTCGGATCGGGCTCGCAACTCAATCAACCTCTCGACACCCGCTCGTACTCGGGACAATTGGGCGTACGGCCAATCGGCTGCGACCTTCCGGTCCGCCTCGGTTCGTAGGAATCGCTTTTGGTTGATCCACTTACAACCAGAGTAGCCATAGTCCCCATAAACGTCATTGCCACTCCAGGGGACGATCACGACTACCTTCCGGCTCGGGTTGCCGTTCTTCTTATTGTGCTCGGCCATCTCTTGAAGCTCCTCCTCAATCGCCGGCGCAATTCGATTCAGGCCACGGCCCCATTCCATCCTCGAGCGGATCCGGGTACACCAGGCCATATTAGAATCTTGGTTCAAAAACTGAGCCAGATCCATTCTCGTGATTTCTGGTTCGATCATGGGGCCGATGAATTTCTGTCGAATGACGGCGTAGGAGCTGTCACCACAGATTATAGCAGATCGGCTGAGCCTTCCGGCCCGCTCGATAGCTGCGCCAATAGGCACTCCGGCGCGCGCTCCATCAGGTCGGCGATTTCACCGAATGATCCCTGAGCGCTGCCTCCCCCGAGCGTACCGCGGATGGCCACTCCGATGGGTTGACGGATTGAAGCCAAGCGGCGGACGTGAGCCTCGGGATCCTCGCCGAATGCTACCTTGACACAGGCAGCACGCAGGTCAGTGGAAACTTTTTCCCACGCGGCGATACGATCGCGTACCGTGGGCATCACATCAGCCTCCACCTGCGGGACGAAGTTGACAGCCATGTGTTTCATCTCGGCTGGACAAAACAAAGTGGCGGCACAGCAAATCGAGATAGCTTGAGGGCTCGGAATGCGGCTACGAAATGCAGCGTGAATGGCATCTGTCATGGTATAAGTGTAGGATTGAGTCTCTCTCAGGAACTTTCCTCTACCTTCGGCATGTTGAATGTTGCAGCTGCATTGAAACTCGCTCAAAGTTTTACCTATTCCTTCATGAGTAGTAGCAACTGTCCAAGGCTTCTTAATAGGGAGGTTATCCTTACCCTTCAGCCCCACAGCGCACCCATCGAAGTGGTATGACACGAGACAGAGTTTATCGATCAGCTTTCTGACCTTGGGTAAGCCCCAATAGGTGCATCCCCTTGGCCATTCAATGGCAACATGAACCTTGGGGAGGACTGACAGAAACTCGACCAAACTTGACCAGAGGACAGCAAATTTCCTTCGATGCTGCTTTACTTTCCGGCTCCCGGTTGGGTGGCGTAAGTTGATGTACGTCCACGGAGTGCCCCCCGTGCAGGGTAGGCTAACCCAAACGAGTACTGATTCCACGCCGTGGGCTTGCATGTGACGCTTGACTTGGGCAATTATGAGCCTTCGATTGCGGCTACTGTTAAAGTCGAACTCTTCAGTAAACTGCAGCACCCTGCATCCCTCAGCAGCAGATCTATTCCTATCACTTAGCTTTGAGTCTTGATCACAACATACCTCGACAAGCATCCTCTGAGCGTCAGGCACGGCGTGCGCTTCCGCCACGCTTGGCTTCGCTGGGGCAGATCGTACCTGCGATTGGCCAATGGGCAGTTTGTCACGAATGGACAGCAATTTCAACGCCGTACCCCACTTCTCGGAGTTCGTGAAAGGCTTTGTAAAGATATCGGCTGCTTGAAGAACGGTTGGGCCGTGAACTAACCGGTACCATTTACGCCTGAACTGCTCCTCGAGCCACGAGAGGTTGACTCTCTGTGTTTTGTCGGTGCGCCTAAAAGCTGGGGATTTGCCCGATTCGAGAATTCGGATCGTGGCTTGATTATCCTCAAAGAAGACACCTTCGATCGATTTGGGAGCGAACAGGGTAAGGTCAAGGGATCCTTCACGTTCCATGCCAAGGAATTCCCAATCAGTTAGCGACTCACGGATCTCTTGTGACTCAACCTTATAGTCAACATCATTTGGGCCGTGTACACGAAACAAAGTCTTTCCCTTCCAGTCCCCCCGGATTGGGTAGTCACCCTTGGACTTCCAATTGTCCTGCTTCAGATCAAGGTTTCCCTTGTCATCGATCATAAGGGTGGTTCTGGCCAGTCCGAGACGGTTGATTGACACGGGGCATGACTTCGAGTCGTTTGGCACGTATAGGTGAGATCTGGGTTTAACATGGACCCTACTCAAACATCTTCGTAATGGTTCATATATCCAGTAGTCTCCATCCTTATCGGGCTCTGTCCTCACTCTCTCTTGCGGCAAACTTTCCAGCTTGCTTGAAGATGAACGCGATTTGGAGGGTGTGATTCCCCCCGCCTGCTGGAGGTGTGCCCATAAACCGGAGGAAGGAAGACCGACAGAGCGGAGGGAGACGTTTGCTGAAACAACTTCTGATTCAGTGCTGCTAAGGGACACTGATGTTTGTTTCTTGCTAAAAGCTGTCAGCGGGTAGTATGTATTTGGTCCGACAAGTACTAGAACACAACCGCTAGTAGACCTGCTGTCATATTCACCTGCATGGTCCGCATCGGCAAAAAGCCATAGTCGGCACTCTTTGACATCGTCTCCAATGAAATTCAATGCATCTTGTAGTCAACAGTTGAATGGATGTAGCATATCAGTCTATGTAATGCTTTGTCACAATCGGTGGACCATTTGGTTACCCGAGCCGCTAGGCCCTGCACCGCCCGAAGTAGATCAAATCGGGCCATGCGCGCAGCGAAGAGCACTTTCATGAGGACTCTCGTCGCGATAGGTGCAAGGACTCCTGGCTTCTCTTCTCCTTCCACTGTGGGACGAGCGATGCGCTCCTCATGGAAAGGGGTGGCAACCTTGCGCAACGACTGTGCATTCTTTCCTGCCAGCGCGACATACCGGTCAACACATGACTTCAGGAAAGGTTCCATATCATAAGTGACAACTGTGACTGGTTTGGTCATGCAAGCATTGGTGTTGTGAAGTTGGTCTAAATACGAAAAGTTCTGACTTCTTGCGGCTTTCTTTGCACTACCCTTGTCGCGAGTGACCCCAGCAAGAGCGAGCTTTGGGTCACCGCATTGTTTGGTGAAGAGATACGTGACACCCGTCCATAGTGATGGTGCTCGTTTCCTGTCATTGATGTAATCCCATTGAATCTCGGCTCCGCCTTCCGGCGCGCACTCATCAAAGTACGTGCAACGGACATTGGACAAGCCTAGTTCTTGTATCAGGGACTCTTCAGGCACGAACATTTGTTTTCTGGGTTGGACGTGGTGTCTTGCGTAAACAGGACTATCAGGATGATGTTCCCAAAAATCTTGTGTCCTCTGAACTCCTGCCGCGGCAGTCTTTGCGGCGGGATCTGGAACTCGTTTGTCGAACACGTGCGCAAATGGATGTGCCTCTACTGGCAGAGTTACTCCCCGCTTGTAGATGTGTTCACACCCCAAGTATCTCCCGACCGGTCCCGGGGTGTCGAGGTCAATCTTGGAGGCGATCAAGCTCCATCCTTTCTGCAATGATTCCTTGGGCCCAGACATCTTGAAGTCGTCGACATATACAATGAGCAATAGCCGAAGGCTAGCATGGAAAAACACCGATGGCCAACCCTCTGGATCAGGCATGGCGAATCCAACGGCTACCAACATGTCCGTACAGTGCTGCTCCCATAGCCCCCCGGAGTCAGGGTGTCCATAGAGTGCGATGCGAAGCCTGCAGGCAGGTCTGTCATATTTTCCTACCCATGACTTAGGCCAACGGTCTCTGGGGAGTTCGACCCATGTCTCAACCCCCTTCATTAGAGCTTGTGTGTAAGCTTGCTTGCCATCTGCTTGCTCAGTTGCAAATCCTGGCTGTGCCCCGTAGGCGTCAACAGCCTTGCCCGCTCCCATTGTCGCGGGGGATGACCCGAGCTCGCTAAACAAAGCAACATCGCTGTTTTCATCCCGCACGTTGTTCCCTTGGAAAACCGTGCGGCCTTTAAACTTGCGAAGTTCATGTCCCGTGGGCAGTTCGCTACCTTTCTCAACACAGATCTCGAACACTTTCCCTATGTGGACCTTCTTGCCTTGTTTCTTGGCCTTTGAAGCTACGTCCTTCCACTCTTGAACCGTGTCATATAGCCATGCATCTTTCTTCTCTAACTTCACCCATTCGACATCTAGGGATGCTTGTGCTTTGGGGTTCGATCTTATCTCTTTCCGATTGACTGGTCTGGCAACTAGAGTATTGATCGCTTTCTCACCCTGAAGCCTACCAATCTTTATGAGCTTGTCACGATGTCTCTGTACGCTGTACCCGCAAACGGGCATCTTGGGAACATCTTCGGCACCCTGTGATGGTGATGATGATCCGGCGTTCCCTTCCGAGACGCGAACAACAGCCCATGTTTCGGAATGTCTGGATCGTTTTGATGCAGCTGCCTTCTTAGGCAGTGTAGCCATGTCAGCAACTCTAGCTAGTTTCTTCTGCTCTTCTGCAATTGCGAGTCTCCGTTGCTTCACCGACATTGATTGCCACACAAAGGATGGAATGTCCTTGGGTTTGCTGGATCCCTGATATCTCCTGGTCTTGAACCCCCCCGCGTCGTAAAACTTGGGGTCGTCGCTACGAATCATTTCTGCTTTGCTGGTGTATGGGTTAAAGACTTCGATCTCAGAAGGACCTGGCAATGTGCTCGGTGTTGCATCCGGAGTTTGCAAATTAAGTTCGTTCTTCGACAGAATAGTTATGGTAGCACCGACCACCTCAAGCAGTCCGTCCATTGACCTATCCCATGGATGTATAAGTGCATTTGATTCAACAACATGCCATGATTCCTCATCGGAGTGCATAAGGGTGGTCCTATAGGAGTATTGCTCGGTGTTTACTTCTGCACGCGGGTCGAGGAACTTCCCCTCACAGGGGCTATACTTGACCTTACATTCGGCATAGTCA